ACGGCAGCGAAGAGTTCAGCCCCGGACGGCAGCGAAGAGTTCAGCCCCGGAAGAGAAGAGTTCAGCCCCGGACGGCAGCGAAGAGTTCAGCCTTTCGGACGGGCAGCGAAGAGTTCCTTTTTCCCCGAGAAGGACGGGCAGCGAAGAGTTCAGCCCCGGACGGCAGCTTAGAAGAGTTCAGCCCGGACGGCAGCGAAGAGTTCAGCCCCGGACGGCAGCTTAGAAGAGTTCAGCCCCCGGACGGCAGCGTAGAAGAGTTCAGCCCCGATCGGCAGCGTAGAAGAGTTCAGCCCCGACGCAGAGAGAGTTGCGGCTGAGTTGGCGGCAAGAAATCCTTCCACCCAAGTCAAGACAAGAGAACTTCCAGCCCAAGCAGACGAAGAAGGAGATTGCTCCAAGGAAGCCAAGAGTTGTGGCAGAGTTATGGGCAGAGTTCAGCCCCGGACGGCAGCGAGAAGAGATCACCTCGGACAACAGAGAGTAGTGGCTGAGTTGCGGCAAGAAATCCTTCCACCCAAGTCGAAACAAGAGAAATCCTTCCACCCAAGTCGAAGACAAGAGAATCTTTCCACCCAAGTAGACGAAGAAGAAGATTACTCGAAAGCCGCAGAGAAGATCCAGCCCAAGTCGAAGACAAGAGAAGTTCTATCTAAGTCGACGAAGAAGAAGAATCAACTGCGAATGATCGATAGAAATTAGCCCTGTGTCGAGCTAAACCACCTCCGACATACACAATTCTAAGGAGTAGGCAATTCGAAATCTTTAGGTTGTGTGATAGAAGCTTGGTGCCATAGTCCACAGGCGGTCGGGAATTGAGAACAATTTTGTTTTTTTATGTAACGGACATTAGATATAAAAGGTTGTTACCCTTTTTTTATCAGCAATCCTTTTGTCTCGTGAGTTTTTTTTTTTTTTTTTTACTTGTGTTTTGCCACCCCGTCCGGACTCAACTTGTATCGGCCCCAATCCCTGCTGGTCCCGTCTGTCTAAGATCTAAACACAGCGTGGGTAGACAGACCGAGATCAGTACAGTTGCTTCAGTAACCAGGTATTGGAAGCGAGTTGGGAAGGGCGAGGCTGGTGATCATCTAACCAAGGGGTTGGAGCGGCACGCTTGGAACCAGGAGGAGCGACCAGGAGGAACGACGTCACAGTTGGCGCCGTAACCAAGGGATTCGACCCTGGGCCAGGTGTGTAACCGTCACAAGCCAATGACTCAATAAAATCAAGTCCCAATAGATTGTGGCTAGAGTCTGAAACATAAATAATTCTAAACACTGTTTTGTTCTTGACTGTAATGGTTGATGGTAATTTTCCCATAATATGAACACAATCTCTGGATGCACTTTGCGTTACATATCTCGTTGGTGAAGGTTTGCCACTGGTTTTCCGTAGTGTGTGTTATATCCAAAGCTGTGTCAATTTGTAGACAAACAAGATAGCCATTCAGTTCTACTGCCACATATTTATGGTTTGACTTAGAGTTTAGGAGAAAAGTTGCTACTAGACTGTGCATGTTTTCCTCCACTGACTGTATTTGTTATGTGGTTGTTTTGTGTTGGTTTATGACATGGTGGAGTGCAGAATCCCTCTTTGTGTTCCATTCAGTTACTTCCCCTGACAGTGATGTAATTTGAATGGACAATACCGAACAAAATGCCAGCTACCACAATTCCAGCAAGTAGATGGAGTTTCTTGTCTGTCAAATCCAGAGATGTAGTTCAGCATTGTCTTTGAACAGTGTTTACTGCGGACACTGTTGAAGGTACCGACTGTTGTATCATAGTTGAATTGTATTTAAGATTCACCAATCATTGACACTCCACAGCAACTTGCTGCAGAGTAATGTCAGGATTTTGTTCAATTTGAGATAGAATCCTTGTTTGGATGTCTGCATCACATGCTGACCTCAAACCACATAGAACACTTAAACTGTGCATTTGTGATTAAGGTGATTTTTAAATCTTTCACATTCTTTGTTCACGATGCTAGCATATATAACAACATTAACTGAGTCACTTTGTAATATTAAGGCAATTAAACTGCATATTAAAAAGAAGTTTGATCACCGTATATCTGATTTAGTGTCTCAATTGTTTTGTTGAAATTGTTGTCATTTGTGTGTTTCAGTAAAATGTTGTTTGTGTAGCAGCCGTGTTCAGAGGGTCCAAGTTTCTGTAAAAGGGGCCTGACTTTCCAGTCGCTTTGAAAAGATCCTCGAATCATGCAAACCATGTGCAGAAAGTCCGTTTATCAGCTGGGACATAGTGGAACTCCATGATTGAATGCACCACTGCCTCTAATGTGGATATTTTTGTTTCTGAAGACACTGATGTGGATGCAGAAAATACCTCAGAGAATAATTCCATCAAGCACAGTTGTTGTTGTTAGAGTTGCTGAATTGTTGAATCCATCTTTGTGATGTGTCTGCGTTGTTCAAATGGACCTCGTCTTCAATTTTGTTATGTTCCAGGGGTGGAAGATGAAATGTGATTGTGTGAAGAAAGATAAGATTGAATGAAAGGATAAACTGTTACAAAATTTATTAAATAAAAATACAGTTTGAATGGTGAGTGGAGCCGCTGAATGTGTAATGATAAGATGGGGTCCTCTAAAATGTATCCAGCTCACTTTGTCATGACTGAACTCTCCTTACCCAGAATGTGCTGTTCTTAAAACAGGGGAAGTGATAAAACCCTTTTTTTTTTTCATCCTTCTGGTCTAAGGGAGATAACTTTTCTTGAATTTTTTTCATTATACCCTAACACACACAGAAGATAGCAGAGTCATCCAACCTTTGCTGCTGTTTATCGTGTTACTGAGACAATATCCATGGCACCGCAAGCTATGGATTGAGGATGTCTTAGATCTGCTCATACATTTGTCCATGAAAAACACATTCTACAAGCTGTCAGAGATAATCCAGGTATCAGTATATGTCAAGTGGCCTTAGCATGTTATGTATCTCATATTACCACATAGAGAGTGCTTCAAGAGTAGCTCATGTATCCATATCACTTGCAACGTGTACAGGGTCTTTTGCCCTCTGATCATTTGCTACAATGTTTTATTGCACAGCAATTTGGAATAGATAGAATAACAAATTTACACAACCAACATTTGTGAGCAGATCAGAATCCCCATGGTACAATACAGATTAGACACCAGCATCAGTTTGCGATTAATGCGTGGTCTGGAATTGTAGGTGACTGCCTGGTAGGGCCATATGTTCTCACAACATGTCTTACAGGAGCTGTTTCCATGGACATTATTTTGAACACCCTTCCAGACCTGCTAGTGAACGTACCCCTGCTAACATGAAGATGCATGTGGTTCAAGCTTGATGGGGTTCCAACACATTTTAGTCAAATTGTTAGCGATGCACTGGCTAATATCTACCATGAAAGATGGATAGGTAGGGGAGGACTGATTCCATGGCTTGCACATTCCTCTGACTTCAATCATTTGGATTTTTACCTATGCAGCCACCTAAAACAATCGGTTTATGCAGCACACTTTAATAATACAAAGCTGCTTCATCAACGTGTCATTGTCACCATGTGGGAGTATTTGAAAAGGTCTGCTACTCAATCAGCCGATGGGTGCTTGTTTGTGTAAAACAAGTGGAGGACAATTTTGAACATTTGTTATGATATGAGTTGATGTGTTGAGGTACAACGATGGCCTTTTTGGTCCATATGTTTGTGGACATTTTACCTTGTTTTGGTGTCGGGAACCTGCCCCAAAGTTCATAAAAGTATCTTTTGATTGTATCTTGGATTGTACATTTAACTGTGTCTACCCTAAACTTTAAACTTCATAACTCAAAAATATATTTATATGGACTTTTGTCCTGGTTTTTGTGTGAGGAAACTCCCCCCCCTAAAAAAAAGTTTGTAAAAGTATTCTTGAATAACCCCATGTGATATATATATATATATATATATATATATATATATATAATGTTTTATTCTCCAGTAATTCTCATTTGGCTGCTTCATTTATTATTTTCTGTCATTCACCTTATGCAATTTTTTAAGGAAAGCACAAATAACTATAATGAAATGAAGATAATCAAGTTGGTCATGGTTAGTTTGCTACTTCTAGTATAGAGGAATTAGTATGTGTTCTCCATCAGACTATACTGAAAGCAATAGTGAAATTAATCAAAACTTCATAATTGTTTATATAACAGCATGCAGCTGCACCCCCATCCAGCTCTTTTTTACAAATGCATTTGCAAGAGAGTTAAGTTCAATTAAGTAAAACAAAACATACACATATATTTTAACTGTTTTCTAAATATTACATTACGAACAATTGTATTTTAAAGGACTTTTGCTTGTTATTAAATGTAAGTTATTTGTCTCCCATGAATCTTTTATTGGGGGTCAGAAGAGAAGTTAACCATTTTGGTGATGGGACAAAAAGTTTAAATGCAAAACACAATTGAGAGATCAGATTATGACTCAAATCCTAACTGATTACTTTGTGTATCCATTTATATTTCAAAAATATACACTAAACAGATAATCAAACTTAACAATTTTGTTATTTTCTCTACCTTTAAAGTTTTTATGGGATAACGGTATAACCAATTGATAGATAACAAAGAAATCCTGTTTATCTGATAATCTTAGGAAAATAGAAGGAAAATCAAAGTAGTCATCCGCTACCAAGAACTTTTTTTCCCCCGGTTACCATCTTGTTACTGTATCCGTAAACCAACATTTACAAGGACTGAAAGTGTTGGTGTCAGAGAGTACAACATTAAATGTTCTGTTGACAAGCTTCTTCTTGTTGCTCTGCTACTTGTCAACTCTTTGTTTACTGCTGTTCTCTGAACAAATATATCAAAATTCTGTTATTACCAGTAGTGTCTTTTTGCTCTGACATTTCATGACATCACAAAATTATTAATCTGGTCAAAATGTGAACACCATTTGAAGCCTTGTTGTTATCATTGGTGCTGTCTAAAGTTACTCATTCTTCTCTTGCAGGAGATGATTTCGCTGTTATTCAGCAGGAAATTGTTATGATGAAAGATTGCAAACATGCCAATATTGTGGCATATTTTGGAAGTTATCTCCGGTAAGTATATTCTTTTATAAAAAAACTAAACAAGCATAAATTTGATCCTTATTTACATTCATGGCTTTAAGTCAGTGTTTCTCAACGTGGGCACTGGGAGTTTTATTTTATTTGGGTGAGGGTGGGGGTGAACATACTCATTTGGCAGTGGGCATTTATCCAATTTTTTTTTTTTTTTCTTTCAAATTTTCAAAATTTATTAAATATTGGCTACGAAAAGAAATTTCAGAAAGGTATCTAAAGCTGTAGGAAGCTATCAAACTTTTCCTCATTGCTTTTCCAATGTCCTATATGGCTGAATGTGGTTTCAACACAGTTACGCAGCTTCTTACTAAACAATGTACTGCCTGCAAATTACAAAATGAGAAGATCTATGATTACTTCTAAGTAGCATGGAATCTAGAGTAAGAGCCTTAGCAGTAAGCAACAAAGTTAACCATTGCATTGAAAACATTGAGATAAGCTATCAAATAATTTTTTTTTTTCGTTTTAATCATTAGCATTTATAATAGAAATGAAAACAATATTAAAATTATTTTGGCACTAATACCTAATCTTGCTATGAAAGATGAATTCAGTATAATATTCAAAATTTAAATTGATATTGGTGCATTGATAAAAAAAATTTGTGCCAAAAGGGGGCACTGATTGAAAAAAAAAATTGGGAAACACTGCTTTAGGTGTAAAACTTTTTTTCTTTATTGAAATATATACAGATTGGTAAACTTTTTTTCTTTTAAGGAAAAATGAATAAAGAAGAAATTCTTTTATCAGAAATCTTTCTATAAATAATAGCTTAAAAACAATATCATAATTTTCTCATGTAAAGAACACTTAATGCTCTCCTTAAAAATTTCCTTCAGATAACAAATCGCTTAGGAACAGAAAAGTATAAGATAAACACTATTGATAGTTTTCTAAAATTCTCTTTGAATACTGCCATCCATATGCATTTTAAGATTTTTTTTTATATTTTTGTTTTAATTATTGTCAGATTCAGAGTAGATTAAGTTGGTTCTAACCAATGACTTTATAGTCATTGGAGAATTTTACATGTTTTTACAATAAAGACCTCAGTTCTATCAAGGTAAAATAGTGGAGAGCTTCCCTGTTGTGTTTTCAACACTTTTAAATTTAGAATTACCCTTCTCAGACTAATTTTCTAACCAAGGCTAAAGAATACGGTTTGTCTTACTCTTTCACCAATGGGTTCTGGAAAAAAAGAGATGGATTTGGACGTTTCCCAAAGGCACTAATATAAAGTAAAACACAATTGTCTCAGCTGAACTTTAACTGTTTGTCAATTCCATTTCCTGTGCCAATAACTGTTACCCTGTACTACTGCATTTTAAGACTTGATTCTAACTAATATTTAAAGCAGAATTCATCTGAAGATACAAAAATAATAGGCCGTTCAGTGATCTCAATAATATTTGATCCTGAATATCACACAGTCACGCTATAGCAAGGGGTCTAAGTTGACCTCCTCCCCTCTCCATTGGTAATACCTTGATGATGATGATGATGATGACCCCTTTTGAGCCCTTTAGTTTTAGACACCTGCACTATAAGAATGAATAGATTATGGAGAAGATTATTATAGCATAAATAGAACCACATTACTTTCAGATTTAATTTTGACTTTTCTCTCTTTTCATTTAGTCATCTTTTTATTTAGCATCTTAATAGCAGAAACACTTTTATCCCATATTTCTATTTAACCTGATTGCTAAGATTTTAATGCATTCATTTTATCATATTTTCAGGCGAGACAAGTTATGGATTGCCATGGAGTATTGTGGTGGGGGATCTATGCAAGATATTTATCATAGTAAGTATTTGTGCAGCTTTTGTCTTCTTTGGACAAAATGAATACTACCTTATCTTTACTTATGTATAAGACTGAATTGATTTTTCTATGATCACTTTAAGTTTTCTTTATCATCATTGCTGCTTCTCATCAGAGAATAAAAGATTTAACATGTGAAGAACATTAGTTATAAATTGCATCTTACTTTCAAACACAAAAGAAAAAATATTACTTTTCATCCTGATATATTAGCATGCCTTTTTTTTTTTCTTTTTTTTTTTTTCTCAAATTTAACCTGACACAGAAATACAATCAGGATCATAGTCACTTTAAACTTCTCAATCCTTTCCTTAGCTGCATAGTATGTGCTTCACCAGGGTTACATATGATTTTGAATTCAGAGTTGTTGTCTTATACTGTTTTCTGATGGGCCCAATCTGCCTCCTATTTAACTCATACCTCTTTCCCAAGGGTATTTGTATGAAAGTTAATATAATGAAATTCAACTGCAATTCAAACTTGGTTCTCTGATTTCTTGTTCTGAGTTGCTATTCATTACATCACCAACACATCCATGGTGATGATCCTTACTGCAGTTGATTGATTAATTTAATCACTGACCATCCTCTTTTTGAATTAAGTTTTTCTTTTTTTATTTATCAACATGATTCCGTGGAGTGATTTAACATAAATCTACACTCACTGGCCATTTAATTAAGTACACATGAGCAAATGCTCTTTTATGCAAATTTTTAATCTGCCAATGATGTGGTATCAATTTAATGAATATGGGCATTTAAAGATGGTCATGGTGGCCTGCTGAATTTCATTTCCTGCATTGGTATGAGAAAGGAAGATGATTCAAGTGACTTTGAACATGTCATAGTCATCGGTGCTAGACAGTCAGATCTAAGCATTTCAAAAACTGCTGATCTACAAGGATTTCCACACACAACCATTTCTATGGTTTACAGAGAATGGTGAGAAAAAGAAAAAAATTGCAATGAGTGGAAATCTCTTGAAAGTTGAAAGAGTTTAGCAAATAGCCAGACTGATTCAAGCTGATAGAAAGGCAACTGTAGCTGAAATAACTACACTTTACAACAGAAGTGTAGTGAAAATTGGAATGAAAATAATCACCCACCTGATCACAAACGGCAACGTATATGTTCTGCGTGCAAGGTTTATTTTTTTTGACTGGAAAAAACATGACTGCCCCCAGCAAGCTTATATTGCGAATGGTCACATATCCTCACGCGGACGGTTGTGTAAAACCACGGAAATTGAATTCACGCATGCAAATGAAGGAAGGCAGAAAAGGACATAAAAACGCCGAACACTCATCACTCAAGGATAAAAAAAATCTCTCTTGCAACGTTGAAGAAGAAAAGGAGAAAGCAGAGGCACAGGAAGAGATTATTGAGTAAATTGAGGAGGTTTGTCAGTTGTCGCGGATTTGCACCCGGTTCAGGAAGGTATACAGAAGAGCATCTCTGAATGTACAACATGTCAAACCTTGAAGCAGATTAGTGAGAGCAGCAGGAGACCATGTCAGGGGCCATTCTTGTCAGATAAGAACAAGAAACTAAGGATACAATTTGCTAAGGATCACAAAAATTGAACAATAGAAGATTGGAAAAATATTACTTGATCTCATGAGTTTTGATTTCTGTGAAATTGACTCCCATGTTAATGTTTTCCTATCCTCCTTATCCTCATAATCTTCATTTACTATCACCTCCTCTCACATTCATATCATACATCTCATTCAGTAATCTTCTACCTTTTAGTTATTGACTCTTGTATTGGGGGATCTTTAGTAAAAACAAAAAAAAAAATCTCAACTTTTGAGTGCATATAAGTGTAGACTTGAAAATTTGTCATAACTTCACAAGCAAATTATTTGGAATGGTTTGATTTCAAATTTCTCTCAGAACAAATGAATTCAGATTTTGTCTGTGTTATTTTGTCATAGATTTCAACAAATTAGTCAATTTTTGTATGAATTTGTGTTGATGCACTTGGTTGAACTCTCTCTTAGAAAATTCTTATTTTTGGGATTTACCATTCTATTGTTGTTTTTTTTACCCTCCTCAGTCACTGGTCCCCTCAATGAAACCCAAATTGCTTTTGTGTGCAAAGAGACACTACGTGGTTTAGAATACTTGCATAGCCGTGGAAAAATGCATAGAGATATTAAGGTGAGTTATTTTATATATTTTTTTTATTCCAAGCTTGAGCAATATTTTAAAAATTAATTAAAAACTTATATTTTATAATATATTTTTAATATCTTTCATTTGGATTTAGAAATTATAAAAAAATGTTCTGATTGTTGTTTTCCAATCATCTTCAGGTGATGTGATATGGATCCATTCTTTGGATTGTTAGCAGTTCTACAATTCCTTCTTTTTTATTGTTTATACAATTTTGAGTCATGTTGTTACTTAGGTTATGTTGCATGTGATAGTCTTTAGAAATCACTTTATACTTTAACGAGTTAATGGCCAAAGACTATACTGTCCTTTTCCACCCACAGTATAATAAGCACAAGTGAGCTCAATGTGTGATGCAGTAGATCTTAAGACAGCTATCTGCTATAGATTAAGGATAAGCTACTTTATTATTGGGCTTTTGTACCAGATTAAACTGTTTTATAAATATCTACTTAATCTAATAAGGAATTATAGGGGATTGAAAAATTGTTTAAAAAAAAAAAAAAAAAAAAATCATTATCAACAAGATGGATTTTGGTTATTTTGTTCCACAGACATACCAAGAAAATAAAGTATGCAAAAGCCTGATTGTCTCATTATTCCACTTGGTGAACAATGCTTTTCTTTTAGGAAGAGATTTTTTAATCCAATTCTAATGTTTTTTGGTGTATTTTTTATGAATTCATTGTTAATTGAACTTTTAAAAATCTTTTAGACACTCTTCTTTTTCATATCCTTTCCAATTTTTCTCTATGTAAAATATCGAAATGAGCTGAAATTCTGGTAAAAAAAATATTACAAATAAACAAAATGTATTCATATATATTGCAATTGTGTTTTGGGGTATTGTATGGAAAGAAAAAATTTCAAGGAAGTATCACTGAGTACATTTTGGATGTGATGTTTGCCTAAAAAAAAGTCTTTTTCAGATGCAGTTTGAGTATCAGATGGATTAAGGTTAGGGAGCATACAAAATTTAGACTACCTAATTACAGTGGAAAATAATTCTTTTATAACTGTTTTGTTTCTTTCTTAGGGTGCTAATATTTTGCTCACAGAAGAAGGCGACATCAAATTAGGTAAGTATTTTTTTTTAACTTTAAAAATTCTGAGATGGATAGGTAGCTGCTAGAAGAATAATTTCATATGATAGATTGTCTTGTGTCATGACTGACAATGAATATATTACATCTATTTGGGGCAAATGGAACACTTTGACCCTTTTTGTTCAATCATTATTGTTTGAAATGGATAATACTACATTAATGGACAATTAACAGAACATTGGACAGGATTTATAATTTTTGCAGAGATACAGAATTGATAACAACAACTGTGATTAGAACTTGGAATTGTTTGCTAATTTTATTTTATCACTTATCCAATATCTACTCAGTTGCTAGATGCGCTATACATTATCAGTTGCAACAGAAGATGACTGCTTCTGTTGCTGTTATATATTTTTCTATTTTAAGCTGAAGGTATACCGATTAAAATCTCAAATCTGTTTATTGGATGTGTCCGAATCAACTGACCTTCTGTTTTCTCAGTTGTTATTCTAGTAATATTTAATTGAACCACTCATACACATTTCAGTGCTGATCATTTGTAACCTTTTGCCATTGACCAGTTTTATTGAAGATCAAACTCTCAGTATTGACCAGTCTGCTGTCTTTGCAACAAAGATGCTTTCATTCTGACCCAAACCTTAAAGGGCAAATCTCTTCTGGGCTCTTGAATCAGTAACAATAAAATGGACATTTTGTTATGTGTTTATGTTTGCCTTCAAAAATAACATTTCTACAAAATAATTTTGTTTAATGTTAAGAATTTTTAATTAAATATTCAGCAATAACATAATTTGAATGGTTTCTCTATAATTTTCAGCTGATTTTGGTGTATCTGCTCAAATCACAGTCACAATGTGCAAAAGGAAATCCTTCATTGGCACTCCTTATTGGTGAGTAATCCTGATCTCTTATCGATTTTTTGTTTATTAGCCCTAATATGGATATGCCTTGAATATTTGCATTTATTATTTAGAATTTATTACATTATATTTTCACTTATGTTAAACTCTGACAACCTCCTCAGTTGACTTAGCATAAAGATGAATGCAATCTGGGAGACACTGATTAAGAAATAAAGGATACTCAAAAATTCCACCACCTGACTGTAGACAGGTTTAAAACCTTTGAAATTACATCAAATATACACATGACTTTAGCTGGTTTTGTTGACAGTTGTGAGTTCACTCTTTGATTTCAGTAGTATTTAAAGGTTATATACTTTGTTTCAGTGTAACTGAAAGGAGAATCTACAACTGCTAAAAGATATCCCTTAAAATATTGAAAGTAGAATGAGAACAATCTCGACTCATAGAAACTGTTTGGTTGAAATCCCAAATATAAAACCAGAAGAATGCTAAATTATACAGGAAAATTATGTAAATTAAACAAAAGGTTTATTTCTTTTTTCAAATAATTAAGTCTCTTTTATGAAAATACAAAAGGACTAATTCATTTTACATTCGGTGAGAACTTAATACCCATCGAAAGTTCCAGTACAATATTCATAAACAAAATATATTTAATTTATTTTACGATTGTTGATATTAAAATTAAAGAAATATCATTTTTTATAAAGTTTTATAGTATTTATTATTTTATTTTTTTTTTTTTTTTTTTTTTTTTTGAGAATTAGTCTAATTTTTTCCCACTGAAAAATACCAAAACCTAAATTGTATACAAGAAAAAAGAAATTTTCATCGCTGACCACAAAACAAGTACATATTTTGTTTAATCTCCATTTTGCCTTTATAAAGTAAATATTTTTATACTATTCATAATTCTGATTTTTTTCCTTTAATGATTTGAGAACGAGTAAATATTGCAATTGGAAAACATTTTCTTAAATAGCATTTTTACAGATTTATTTTCCATAAAGGTATGGAAATTTTTGACAGCATCAAACCTTTCATTGATCACCAGAATGAAATTCCAATGCTTCAATTTTTGACCTAAACTTAATCTTTAAATCTGTTTCCTCAAAAATCAATAACGATTTCATATAGAGAGCAATACTACAATTCCAAAATCGACCTACCCTAATAAGGACATATCAGATGTTTAATTTGCTAACTATCCACATACTAACTACAACAGATGTTTGTACTGATATCTAGTTGTTCCATATTTGAATTGACATCTGGTTATTTCATATGTTTGAATTACTGTCTGGACATGTTCGATATGCGAGATGGTTTAATCTTGCAGCTGCTTGCATATCAATTGTACTTGATGTTTGTATTGACAGCTGCACATAATGTAGGATATGTTGTGGATGCAGTCATTTATTGATAAAATTGCATCTTGTCATTTTGAGATTAGCTTTCTGTGCACTTTTCTCATTTGTTGACAATTTACCACTTCTCCAAGGCAGTCATTAGTAGACTGTTCCTGGGGTAATTTAAGACTGAGCAGTACCATTTAAAAAGTTCCACCTGTGGCTATTGCACCTTTCAAAGTCATGCTGATATATTGTCAACAATTGATTTTAGAATCTTATCCCTAGCTAAAGATTCCTACTCGCATTAGGAAAAGAAATTAGTAAATACCAAAGATTGAACTCAAGATCTTTCATTGAATTATAGCTATTTTTTTCTAGCAAACAATTTTGCTCTTAATTGCAGGATGGCACCAGAAGTGGCAGCAGTTGAGAGAAAAGGAGGATACAATCAGCAGTGTGATATTTGGGCTGTTGGCATTACAGCGATAGAATTGGCTGAATTGCAACCCCCTATGTTTGACCTTCATCCCATGAGGTGAGGACTAGAGCGCTTCCTGGCTGCAATTACAGCCAGCTGCTGCTCAGCAAACTTTACTTGCCTTTCCTTTTTTTTTTTTTTTTTTTTTTTTTTTTTATATCTGCTTCACATTACATCTCACCAACACTGACCTCTTGGGTTTTGCTTAGCACAAAACAATACACTTTAAGGAATATGAGCAGGATGGAGATTACACAGCCAAAAATAATGGAGGAAGAAAATATCAGCTTGGAAATAAATAACAAAACTTCTTATTTTGAACAGTAACACCTTCCAGTACTTTCTACTTTTTCCAACTTGGTGATGCATTTCTATACATATATATGCATTTCTTATAAACTGTCTCAGGTGAACCAATAAAATCTGTTGAATCTTTTAGAAAGCGAAATAAATTCCAAAAAGAAGATGCAAATTCGCATAGCTAAAGCCGCCTTGAATAAAAAGGATGTAATCTGGAAATCTGATCTACCAGACAACCTCAAAAGGCGATTCATTCCACTGTAGTTGGTTTTAATGCATGGTCCCACTGCTTGCACATGAACTAAAAGGTCCCTGGTTCATTCTTGGGTTTCGGCACCATAATGTTCTCCCCTCCCCTGAATGGTGTGACCAATCAGAAAGATCTCTCAATGAAGCAAAGCCGTTGTTTTTCACTTATAAAGGCAGAATATTTTCTGAGCTGGTGGGTTGAACACGCATTTTTGCTCGTGAGAAGTGAAGGTTGGACGTGTGACTCCATTTTGTTGTTTCTACTTTGCGTGCTGGACTGTTACGATGGGCTATCGTTTGAACTGCGATTTGGCTACAAGTGTTGTGGTCGAAAAACAGAAGAAATCTATTGCAGTTGCTACTATAAGTTGACAGTCTTTTCTTTTCTTTACTACAACAAGCTATTTCAGCGTTTACTTTGTCTCTAGCAAGATGGCGGAAAGACCGTTTGACATAAAACTGATCCCCGAATTCAGTGGTAATACGAGTGGACAGTCTGTGGTTGAATGGATCGAAAATGTGGAACTGGTTTGCGAATTATGTGAGATCACGAAGATTGAATGGATTCTTCTACTGCACTTGAAAGGCGGCGCCCTTGCTGTGTATAGGCAGCTGAGCAAAGAAAAGAAAAGACTGTCAACTTATAGTAACAATAGATTTCTTCTGTTTCTCAACCGCAACACTTGTAGCCAAATCGGGGTTCAAACGATAGCCCATCGTAACAGTCCAACACGCAAAGTAGAAACAACAAAATGGGGTCACACGTCTAACCTTCACTTCTCACGAGCAAAAATACGTGTTCAGCCCACCAGCTCAGAAAATCTGCCTTTATAAGTGAAAAACAACGGCTTTGGTTCATTGAGAGATCTTTCTGATTGGTCATGCCATTCAGGGGAGGGGAGAACATTAGCATAGATTCTAGTACTTTTTACAACTACTTTTGGTAATTTTTCTTCGGCAGATCGCACACAGAACACAAACTTTTTGGGGGTAACTGATTATCTCTTTCACTACAAAACTCTTGAATCTAAGCTTGATGGAACCTACATTCGGATTCTGAGAGCTATAATTAACATTTCTTGAAGACAGCATCCAACTGAATCAAAGCTCTAGGGACCCATCCCTATTATTTCTACAAACTTGCCTGAATACTGCTGGAGAGCAAAACAAGAACTTGCAAATGATCTACTGCTCTGGACACTAGGCAAGATGAGACGGTCACCCATCAAACACCTATGACACAGGATGAATGAACTACTGACCTTGATGCAAGACTGTGATGGTTGGTGTGAGGACTCATGAATGTCTGAGTTAGCTCAACTGAAAACACACACACACACACACACACACACACAGAGAGGAGTGCTGAAAAGTTCTCAACCTGATCAAAAAATCTGAATGATGCCTGTTCATTTGGTCAGATTTGGGGAAGTGGGTCAAGTCAAAAATAAACAGGGTGTACCAAGTATTTGAGAGAAAATCTTAAACAGACTATAAATGGAAGTTGACATAATGTTACAGGTGTGTACTAAACTTTAACATTCTCATTTCTATTTCAGACATTAAGAGCATTAGCATGACAGCTTCCAGTCTAACATAGAAAATAAAAAGGCACATAATACTTGTAGCATTAGTCTCTAATGACACCAACTCAGTGATAGACATCTTGAAAGTGGCCATGTCTTTTGTTTTCATGGTCAAGAATGAGTTGGAAGGAGCCAAATAAGGATATGTCTTCTTTAGCCAAGTGAACAAATTGTTATAAGTGTTCAGATGTTGAAAGACTGCCAAGTTTGTCCAGGATATTATTGACCACAACCTCAGCAAGTTGATGAGAGCCATCACAGAGCACAGCTCTTGTTGGTAGTGTCTACTCATGAACATGATAGACAAGGAGTTCAGATACAATTCATGTCAAACAAGATCCAAGAGAATTAGCTGATTAAATTAATGAACATGGTGAACAGACTCAGACCCCATTCTCAGGTGCTAAGCATTCTTCTCTGATGATCAAAAGTTTGACCAGGACCAAAAGGTCAAAAGGAAGACCAACAAGTAGCTCTGCATGGACCCCTATAGAGGTACTCACATGTCCTCACTGACCATCACCACCTTCATGTTTCCTGTGATTGTCCTGGAGGTCATGAGCAACAAAGGTTTATGTCATGTGGACTCAATTCTTCTCACAGGATCAATGCCACCACCTACACTGAAGTACTAAATGTGTGATGGTCACAAGGTAGGGAGGGTGGACATGTTACAGTAGGATTCTGCTCTCTTGCACATGCCCAATGTGAGCCAAGAATTGTCACAATCATGTCACCCTTAGCCTCTTAATTCTCCTAATTTGGATCCTCTGATATTAATATGCCTAGATTGTCATGTAAAGTAAGACCAATCAAAGCTGTTATTATGGATGGCCAACATGAATGAAAACCTCCTGATTCTGCTATGAAGTCTCTTTCAAGGCTGCATTGAAACTGAAGATAGTTTTATCAAATAATCTGATGACGGTTGAAATTATGGAAAATAAAGCATATTTTTTTAAAAATCCACATTACAACCAAAAACGTTTGCGTTTTCTCTTTTTTTAACATACACACTTTTCTCTCATTGGAACTACTATATCATCTTCGTTTTTATATATATATATATATATATATATATATATATATATATATATATATATATATATATATAATAAATTTTTTCATTCGGGTGCTGTGTTATAGCGTCCCCCACCAAAAAAAAAAAAGTTTGGTCATTTTGCCAGCTTTTGGGAAGTGGGTTAGGCCAATATCTGTTCAGCACAACCTTACACATACACACATATATATGGAGGGGTTGAAAATTTCCAAAGCAAATCTTAACTGAAAGATTAATGGTCAGAGTATACACCTGAAGAATACTAGAAGGATATATTGGCTGAAAAAATATGTTTAAAATAGCAAGGTTCAATTATTGAGGTAATGATGATGCATCTTCAGATTCGGTAAGTAGAACATAGTCTGATAGAAATAAATAATTATAGCAGAGATGTGTGTAAAATTCTCTTTGTAATTCTTCTTAAGCAGAGATCTGTTTATTCCACATTGGAAAATACAAGAAGTGGGATTTCATTATATTTTGAAGATCATCATACTGTTTGAATTTTTCACATGCAATTAACAGTGTATCGTTACTTTTTGTGAATGCCAACCAGAAGAAAATACAAATGATAAAAGCAGAGATGGAGAAATGTTCTCCGTGACATTGATAATAAGATATATATATATATATATATATAGCCTGCACCAAAAACAAAAGCTTTTATTCATGATGTCGTATCTCCAAACGAAAAAGGTTTTTCTCTTAAAATTACATTGTCTCCAATGTGAATGTAATTTTTTTTTTAAATAAGTTTTCATTTGTCTTCAATGCACTTTGATGAAAATTCAATAGTCTTTGATGATGTGCTTTTCTTTGAAAATCATTACAGGGCCTTGTTTTTGATGTCAAAGAGTGGTTTCAAGCCCCCTCAGCTGAAAGATAAAAATAAATGGTAAGTGCTTATTATTCTATATTGTAAATATCTGTTGAGAAATATTTCTGAAAATATTAAGATTTTTTTTTTTTTTTTTTGTCAATAAAACTAGAAATGAAGAGCAATTTTTTATAACCTAAGAAAGAATTTTGAAAACAATCTGACCAATCAAATGTCTGCCTTTTGCCTCGTTATGATGATGATGATATACTTCTAACAAAAAACAAAGTTATTTCTGATGGAAATAGTCAAGATTGGAATCGAAGTCTAAACAAAGTATGTATTTCACAATATGAGATTGGATAAAAAAATCAAAAACAATCTGTTATGCTTATTGAAAGAACCTGATCATGAGTGTTCCAGGGACTACATCTTTCTGTCCAGACTTTCATTTTCTTGCTGCTAATCTGATTGAAGTTTGGTTGACATTTGATTCTCAGCAAATTTCAAGTTTCTGACATTGTAGTTTTTTTTCTTTTTAATGGTAAATGGTATAATTTATGTCTTAAAGGATTTCAGTTGTTATTTTCTCAGATTTTAACTTGTCAAGGAACGAGTCAGATTTCAACCAAAGTAAATAACTGTTTTGATATAAAAGCATTGAACAAATCCTAAGCAAGAAATACTGGCAATGGATTAGAACTTCAAATGATAATTAACTAAAAATAATTTTCCTCTATTCTCATAACATAATCATGTTGTAAGTGAATATAAAATGCAAAATATATAAAACATATTTTCTAAAGACAGTAAGTTTTTTATTCAACTGCCTTCCATGCTATTAACAATTTTTAAAAATAAATTCTGGAAGGATGGTTATTTGGGGATAAAATAAAATCTGGATAAGTCAGGCTAAGTGCATTCTTGCAGACAATGGTCATGAAAAATGACAAAAGGTCTTTCCAGGTTTCCAAATTGCATTGTTTTAGGAAAATATCATTATATCCATACAATAACAAGTCGCATATTCTCTACATTTTCATATTCTTATATGTTCTCTTTTTCAGGTCGACTCTTCTTCATAATTTCATAAAATTAGCTTTGACTAAAAACCCAAAGAAAAGACCACCAGCTGACAAACTACTTGAGGTAATTAAAGTATTTTCTTCTGAAATCTCTTAGAACAACATTTGATTTCTCTTTGTACTTACTCGAAGTTCGTTCTTTCAGCTCACACTTCTCATGCATTTTTTTAAGAAAAATCTTACAAAATTAAGTATGTAATTATTTCACAAAATGCCCTTGCCCTCACATAAATTTTATTTTTAAATTCTTATGCACCATGGCTTGTATGTCTTCTTCTCTCTGAGTTGTCTCTAAAATTTTACCTTTATCACATAACCAAGAATGTCCTGGTTATGACAATAAATTACATCTGGCAGCAAGGCCACTGATCCAGAGATTTTGAGGAGTGTGGAACCACTTCCTACCTACTGTTGTTTCTAGGTCCACCCTGACCCAGAGTGGTAGCACCTGTTATGGTCCTAGTTATGGGGAAATAGTGAACCCCCAAAATGGGGTTAAAACATGAAAAAAATATATTACAAAAAATTGCCAGCAATACATTTTCATAGTAAAAAAAACAATAAAAAATAAAAAATTATCAGGAATACATTTAAAAAAAAAATACCAAAGCTCCCAAGAAAATAAAATTTCAACATTAAATGATCCATAAGAAGTTGATATGCCATTAAACAAACAAGAATTGCATGTTAGCATCAATATGCTCTCAGACATATTTACTAAAATGACTTATTTGCAGATCATGAATTTTGATAACCATAAGCTGCATTTCACTATATTGCATAAACCATGAATTGACATTTCTTTTGTTATGCTCTTACTTCATATTTGTATCCAAGTCCCAAATGTCTGGATTATTTTTTTTTTAAAGATGATAGCTTGACTTATGTAAAATAAAATCCATAAAAGTCATATTAGATTTAATTTGACCTAAGTGAATGTCAAAATAAATTGACAGCTGAATTCCAATTTGTAAAGAAAGAAAACCTTGCCCCAGGTTGAATATTATTCAGCAGCACGTCAACACAATTACACAATTAGCTTAAAGTTATTGAAAAAAAACAAGTATTTTTTTCCACAAAGGAAATATTGGTTGATGAGATTAACTTTTATTATCTGTAATGGTTTTTCTTTCTTATTTTGGTAGCATCCATTCTTACTCCAAAGTGATCTGTCCAGGAAAAGCACAAAAGAACTTTTAGAAAAAGCCCGCAATCCTCAACATCATTTCACCACAGAAATGACAGAAGTAGATGATGAAGGTTTTCTGCAGAATGTGCCTCAGAGAATATCCTCAGAAAATTCTAGTCGAGCTCCCAAAAACAGGAACAGTTTAGAAATTACAAGTAAGGATTCTCCCTTTTTTTTTTCTCTCTCATTAAATACTTGTTCTTTTCTTGCTTACCACTCTCTCACTGCCAAGATAATATATATCCATGTTATTTACTGTAAAACTATAAATAATAGTTATGGTCCTTTAAAAATAGTTTTTCAAATGATCTACAAAATTTATAACTGAACAAAAAAAAAACCAAAACCAATGACATTAAAATAAGGGTTCCAATAGAATTTATTTATTTACTGATTTATATATACTTTATAGGTACCTCCACAAGGATGCTAAAAAATCAGCATACCGTGATGAAAATAGGCTCCAAATGTAATTAAATTGTCAAAATTTTATTGTCAAAATCTTTGTTATTGTTAAGAGGAAGGAAGTAAAAAAATTTGATGAAAAATGAATTTTTGTAAAATTTGTTTGCATGTTTTTACAATTTTAATTGGAATAATTTATATTTTTAAATCTTTTAAAATTCAGTTTCAATGGAAATATTGTTATTAAGTAAAACTATATTTACTAATCATATATTTTAAAGCTTATTACTATCTGAAGACCCTGACTATTTTAAAAAAATGTCTTGTGTTGTCTCCCCTTACGATAAAAAATACAAAACCCTAATGAAAATTGTCGTCTGCTACACCGTAGTTAATTATGATCACGTTTGGCAGTCAATCCACCAT